CCCGTCCGGGCCCGGGTCGCGGCCGGCCGTTAGGATTGTGGTCGCCCAGGCCGGGGCAGCGGGCGCAGGTCGTACCCCACCGCCAACTGTCAGTCATCTGAAGCCATCCCCGGCCCGAGGCACAGCATGCACGCGGGTTGGGACGACCGAAGGTCCTGGGCCGTGGGCTTGGCTGCTGCACCTGGTGTCCAGCCTCAGCCCCGCACTCGGAACCGGGTCCCTTCCCACCCAGTTCCCGCTGGGCTTCCTCGGTGGAGCGGACCCATTTTCTATGCAGAGACAGTTCTCTTGCGTGCTCTTGGACTGCTAAACTCAATGGCCATGATGACTGCTTGCCAGGATCTGGGGTAGGGGTGGGATGGCTGGCAGGCACTGAGAGACAGAGGGCATCTGCAGGGTTTATTTGCCTCTGGGTTGACCTGCCGGGGGTCGGGGGTGGGGTATCACTCTAGTCCCTCCCTGTCCGTGTCCTTCCTAATCCTGCCCCCAAGGATGCTTGTTCTTCCAATCCCTCGTGGGTACCATCCAAATCAAGCACGTCTTTTGGGACAGAATCAAAAATTAGTGATCAACGTACAGCTCCCACATGCAATACTTTCCCTAAACCTCCATTTCTGGAGCCAAGGGAGAGGGCAGGACCACTATGCAGCCTAACAGAAGCACTGGCAAGACCTTTGCATCTCATGCACCCTGAGGGCCAACTTCATTCCTGACTCTGGCACCCCAATTTTTTTCTCACTGTGCATTTCCTTTCCGTTTCCCCGGGCACAGGAGAAACTGAGAGTCCACTGGGACTGAACTTCGAGCGAGACTTTGCCCTCATTTGCCAAAAGGCCTTTAAGGAAATAAGCTTCACGATCATAAACATACCCACCCTTGCCCCGGAAACATCAACCCTTCCCTGTTATTCCTGGGGTGTCTTAATTCCTCTGATCCTCTGGCATGCTTTTGTAACCTACTGGATGAAGTCAAACTGGGCCTACACACTAACATATTTTCTGTGGATAGACAACGTTTCAATTGTTTTTTTCGCCCCACCCCTCCATGCTGTTTTCCTAGTTGAGCTTCAAAACTTTTTTTTTGTCTTGTGACAGTTTTGCAGGGAAATACTTTCAAATAATTCAGTTTCTCAAATGCTCTATCAGATTTGCAGTCATGGTCGCCAGTATGTTGTGAGACAAAGGACAGCATGCGGGAAGGGGTCACCTGGAGAGTCTAGCCCTTTCTCAAGACTCTAATTCTCTGCTTTTTACATGTGGCCAACAGAGAATCTTCAACTCTTACCTTGAGTGCTCTGGGCTGGGTAGGTGCACGCTGAAGTGGAACACCCAGAATGGGTGGCTTCTGTGGTGCTGGTGGTTTGTGGCACTGCCCTCCTGACCTCCTCCAAAACGAGCACCCATCTATTTCATCCCAGATTCCCGACAGATCATATTAGGGAGAGTTCATTGAAATAAACTTGGCATTTAAATTAAGTGTTCCCCAAAGCATCTTGGCAGAGCTGTAGCTAATGATGGCGGAGGTCTGTGCCAGGTTTGGATTTATCCTGGACCTCAGTGATTGTCTCCCACACACAGCCCACTGGTACCCTTGGCTCCTGTGGCCTGGACCTTGGATCCCTGTGCTTCTCAAGCTCAAGCATCACAAGTACAGTAAGTGAGCAACTGTTTCTCCTCCTTCCTGCTTCTGCCTCTACAGTTCCTAAGTGATTGCTTCCCGTCACTCCTCTTCCCTGAGCAATGTTATTAAAGAAATTGTAAATATTATGCCAAACTCCTTGCTGAACTGTTTCATGGCATTGTAAAATTCATAGAAGTTAGAGTTAGAAAAGGAGCCAAAATGTAGTCATTCGAGAAATACTGTTAGCATTTCTTTTCAACTAATTTTCAGCACAAAGCAATAAAATATGCTCATGTCGTTGATAAATTTGCTCCTCTGGATAACTCTAAGGTGTCGGTGTCAGTTTATAGCATTCATACAATAATGGTTGAATTCTGATAAGCAATTTGTTCATGTTTAAAGTCAACAAATACCTTTATAACCTCACTCTGGCAATTCACAACGTTGACTCTCTTAGGCCTTCGCATTTCAATCACCTTGGCTTTTAATTGTCGTTCTTCACCAAACTGTCTTCCGTTTGTTTGCATTATTAATTTGATAGCAAGGCCCTGAGCTGTTCAGGTCCCTGGTCCACAATAAACTTTGAGTCTCCCCAGATAACCCCGATGCTGTTTACAGACATCTCGCTGTCACTCACACCCCGTAGGTTAGGAACTGGGATCTGGTTTCCAGTTCACAGGGTTTAATGTTACGACTCCAGATTTTTCTGACTCGCTGACCACTTGTTCTCCTCAATGTATTATGACAACTTTGGCTTCCCAAGCCCCACTCTCATCTTATTTTCTATGCATCTCTAAAGATGCAGTTCAATTTCAGGACCTTCCTATTTTACTGCTCCACACAGGCTTAATGTGAAAGCTAACTGGAACAGAAAATAGAAAATGCTTTAGGAGAGTAGCAGATTATATCGAAGTGCTGGTCCATACAAGGTGCCGGTTGGCTTCCTGAGTCAATCCATGCTTTCATTCTCACCTATTGTGACCCTGAAACTTACATTGTGTTTATTTTAACACCATCATTAACAACAAGAACTATGCAATGACCCTTTCTTTCTGGGCACTTCTGTGGCAAGTTAGACTTGCCAAAAGTTTTCATTTCCATATTCTTACTCTCCTTTGGCACTAAAAGACCTTCAACCACTTTCCTTGGATCTGTCCTCTACAAGTACATATGGCTGCCAAGAAACTATGCACTCAGTGAAGTGTATCAATGCTTTCCAGCCAGGGAGAAACCACCTCGTGGATTCATTAAATTTTCTCAGTGGCTATTGAATTAGGTAGCACTTTGAGGTAATCTATTAATTACTGGGGATTCAATAAAAATATTCTATTTAAAAAGCAACAATATGATAGACTAATACAATTCTCCCCAAAGGTACTTGTTTATCATAGTATGTCTTAATTCTTTCTTGTATACTTGAGTGCTTTTATGTTATTATTTTATTACAGGAGTCACTGGGCATTGCAAACGCAAACATTTGTGTGGCCGATGGGTAATGGACTTGTTCCATAGAGTTCTAGAATTTATAGTCTTCAACAATGGCATACTTTGCTTATAAAATACAGAGGAATATCCTGCCTGGTTCATCTATGGTTTTCTAATTTTCATAGGTTCTTGACACAAGAAACATGTCAGTATTCTCCTGTCTCGGAGGAAGACATGAACATGCTGATGAATACACTCTCATTCAGCCAGTGGGGAACAGCTGGTCACTGCTTCCAGGGAGAAATGCCAGCCCAAGCTTTGTCTTATTTTTCCAGAGAAGCCATAAATCTGGAATATAAAACTTACTGTTTATTCAGTTGATTTTATTACAGATATGACAAAATGAAAAAAGTTTTGGTGTGTTTACTATTAATGTTATTATTAGTATTTTTGTGACAGTCTTTTACTTACTGTAATCCAGACTGATCTGGAACTCACTAGGTATCCCAGGCTAGTCTCAAACTCTTGGTAATCCTCCTGGGTGCTGGGATTATAGACACCATATCCATCTTTATTCTTTCTAAGGTTTATGGAAAGACCTGTTTTCTCCCATTATACTTTCAATGTCATGATAAGCAATAGCTTAGGAAAATACTTCTAAACTTGAATTTCTTTATATCATGTTAACATGGTTTTTAAGGACACATTTATTTTCATATATCCAACGTGCAGTGTGTTGCTCCAACCCATCCCCTTCATCTACCATCTCCCACTTTCAACCTTAGAAATGTCTCTGAAACCTGAAGCCAGGGACCCAATGTCTAACCAAAAACTTTGTCATTTCCTCAGTCCTGTTCTAATGTGCTTTCTGTTTCTATAATAAAGCCACGAACAAAAGTAACCTGAAAAGGTTTGGTTCACTTTATACTTCCATGTCAGGGTGCACTGTGTGGTGCAGGTTGATTGAAGAAAGAAGGCTCTCCAAGATGAAATCTTAAGGCCTATGTGGCAGCAGGAAGGTCCAGCCTCTCTGATGGACTTGACCCCACACAGCCATACAAAGGCATATTTATTGAAAGTTACACAAAGTGTTTCCTCATACCAAGGTCCCTAATCTAATTTACTTGTCTTACTGAAGGAGAACATCACATGCCCTCAGGACTCTAGTCCTTTATTGTGTATCGTATTATTGCAATACACAATAATACAAGAGCCTCAGGTGTGCCTTAGGTGTCTTGTGACCAAAGTCATGAGATGGCTGCGGTGCCCCTTGACCAAAACAGTCACTGTTTTCCACAAGGATTCTTCAAGGTCAAAGAACTTCTAATATCTAACCTGAATACAGTGAGTCTGCTAAATTACTACAACGCTTCCAGGTCACTGTGTGAACTCATGACAGGAACTCAAGGCAGAAGCTAGGAGCAGAACCCATACAGGTACACGGCTTCCTTGCTCACTCTCTAGCTAGGGACTGTGACACAGTGAACAGGATACCCATCCTCCAGGCACCCCATTCCGTCCTTGAGCACTCTACACTGCTCCCCCTGAGTGGGAGGGGGTGGGGAGCCCACTGAGTGGCAGTCGAAGAAAACCGCATTCTCTCTGGCATGCTAGGCCCTTCTTATCCTTGCCCTCCAGTGCCCACTTTGCCAGTGTAAATCTCTACATAGATGCCATGGTGGCCTTCTCCATGCATACTCCAAGCTGTCACTCAGCTAAAGCAAACAATGTATCCAAGCTATCTGAACTGTCTGACAACTATGACTTTTGTCTCTAGTGGGGTCCTTGGGGATTTTAGACAACATTGCTGCTGAGCACAGATCTTTGTTCTCCACACTGCTGGTCTTTTGATTGGGCCCTTGGCTCCCTAGCTTGGCATTTGCCCGAGAATTCTTATACAGACAGTAAACTTCCTCCACTCTGACTGCCCTTACTTCCATGCACCCCTCCTGTGGTCTGAAGTTAACTTCAAATGAGAAACTGTGTGTTAGGTGTGATTAGGAGGCGCCTCTGTTAGAACGTGATTGGTCTTTAGGAGACCATAGAGTTTTGTTACTTTTTCCTGAGTGTAAGGCTTTCCTGAAGGAGTGGTCCATACCAGTGCCAAACACATAAGAACAAGAAGAAATCAAGGCCTTTGGAGACAGCCTCAGCCTTGTCTCTAGTATCATAAAGCAGAGGAGAGCAGGCGCCTCCAGAAGATGGGGCCACAGTTGGTGGTGGGCACTTGGCTGTCGTGCACAACATCCCAGACCTGAGAAGAAGAAAGTACCCCAGCTGTGCTCAAGACACCAGCTTCTTAGACTATGGCTAGCAAGTCTCTCTGGGGGTCATACAAGTGAGTATAGGGGTCACAAAAGTCGGGCCCCAGTAAAAGGGCTTAGAACACATGATCAAAATTTCATTCCAGGTCAGATGCATGACGAATGTGAGGTTCTGGCAGCACTCGCCCACGCTGCATCAGGTGACTCCACCACAGCCTTGGATCTGAAAGTGCACTTTGCTCTCATGGACACCCTGTGCCGCCCCAAGGAACGCTGCCAGGAACACTGTAGCTCAGCCTGACACTGCTGTGTGCTAAGAGCTGTGTAGATAGAAATTTTCTGCTCTTAGATAAATGGAGGTTTAATTACAGAAAACAATGACTTCTAATATTTTCCTATCACATATAAATATCTATTAATGTATTGGATCATGTTGAATTAGAATAATTTGTTTTTAAATTGTCTTAAGTTGTTGGTTTGAGCTTCATTTTTTAACTGTTAAATGAATTTTGACCTGAAATTAATATAATTTCCAGAAATTTCTGAAATGGCCCTATACATACTTTGGCCACTTTCTGCTACACATTTATGCAAAGCAGTATCCTTCAATGAACACATCCTACTAACACCCAGCAAGATTGAAATCAGTAAATGTCATCTATATTCCCGCATACATGGATGGCATAAAAATTTTGAGAGTGAAAAGGGAACAGGAACGGAAAGGTTTAAGGAGCTCTGCTCAAGGCCATGAGAAGGACACACAGAAGCTAGGCAGGGCAGAGATGATGCCATCAGACACACCCTAAACTGGACTCTGAGGGCAGAATCACTAGGTGGCCAACTTGAATTTACTCTGTGTGGTTTTAAGTCTCTAACATTGTTGGTTATGAGCGATTGCACCAATCGTAGCTCCCCTCCACCGTGGCACTATGGGAAAAGAACAGTCTATGAAGAAAAGAAGACACCCACCTCCACACCTCACTCCTAGCCAGCATGGTACTCACAACAGCTGATGAGAGATGCCAGGACCCCGTGGACCATTGGGTTGAAGAGGCAAAGGAAGTGGAGTGGAGGAAGTGGAGGCTGCTCTCTCCTAATCTCACTGACATGAGGCAGGTCCTCCCTCTCTCCTGCCTTTTTGTTCAGTCTCTTCTCTCTCCGTGGCTACCTTCCTTCCACATATTAGTATGTCGCAGGGTGCCTTTCCTAAATCCTTTCCTTAATGGTCTTTCTTCTCCCTCCCCTTGCCTGCACGTGAGACTCCTCTGCCTAGGAAATGCCCTGCTGGATGAGTCTCACTTCTTTCTGTTTTCAGGCTGCAGTGTCTACACTCTGCCCTTTCCTTCTGGAACTGCCGTCACAGAGATCCTGGTGTATATCCCAGTGAACACATTCAGTGCTGCTCTTCAGAGTTTTTGTTGTTGTTGTTGTTGTTGTTGTTGACTTTTCTGGAACATTTGATACTAACTCCTCTACTGTTGACATGTTCCCTGGTCCTGCCAAGGTTCTGGGCCTGACTAAGCCACACATCAGCTTTAATATTACATCCAAACTCAGACCTATTTTCCTATACTCCATATGTCATTCAGAAGTGTTCAACCCACACGGTAGCGTCATGGGAAAAGTCAGCAATAGCCACCTCCTGATTCTGTTGCTCCATTTAATCACTGAGGCATTTAATCACAATCAGCCTAGAAACCCCTCTCAAGCCCATGCCCACCGGAAAGGACTGTTGACGGTGTCAAGCCCATGCCCGCCGGAAAGGACTGTTGACGGTGTCGTTGGTGTCATCACGCTTCCCTCCGACTTCCACAGCTGCCTCCTCCTCCTGCCCTGCTCCCTTCCAGGATCCATCCTCCTGTTTCTCCAACTCCAACAGAGTGATCCCGGGGAGGGCAGGGGAAATCACTCTTCAAATCTAAAAGTCTCCAACAGTCCTGCTTCAAGAAAATTTCATTTTCTTGTGGATATTCAGGGTTCTTTCTAATAGAGTCTCCTGCTTCAATGTTCTTAACAGTTACACACTGCCTTTGAGAAAAAGCCAAATCTTGTCACCTTCTGCCTGAGCTGTCTGCTAGGTATGGAACTCCTCTCTTCTCACGCCATTAGAAGTAGGAGGCATCCTTCAAGAAGCATAAATGTTTCTTCCTTTTATAGTATATTTTAATGCCAAAAATATAATTAATTATTCTTTCAAGATTCTTGAAGCACTAAGTTCATACCTCCACAATGGCTCTCATTAAAATATGTCTCATTCATTTATTTATGAATCCTTCCCCCATATGAGTCAGCTCCGCTTAAAGCTTTTTCTCCATGCTGTTGGTCAACCTTCAACTTTGCATAGGATTTACCCTCAAACTGCACCAACCCGTGGTCTGACATACCACAGATTGCTAATAAATTTGTAGATTTTAATTAATGACTTTTGAATTAGTTAATTAGTTAATGACTATTAGTACTCATAATTAATACTCATAAACCCCTCTCTTGTTTCCTAAGGCGTCTTTCTTGGTTATGTTGAGTTTATCTATTGTCTACTTTGTATACATTAACAGTTCCATTAAAAATTAATTTATGGAGCAGTTCAGGCCTCACTATAGGACATTAAAACCCCTGGCCTATATTTGAGAGTAGGCTATAACAAAGTCCTACCAGACCAAACACACTACCCGACAGTTTGGCACACTCCCTAACCACATAATTATTCAAAAATTCCCACACAAACAATACATAACACCAGAGGGGATGAAATCTCCACACACTACTGCGAAAAGAACAAATTACCTGGCCAAAGGAAGCTTCCCTGAGCAGCCCCCAATTACACATATTAACAACAACAAAAACCAAATGGCAAACTCTACCTTGTTCGTAATGGAAGAGGCACCTGGAGCCTCTGTGAGGCACAAAGGTTAGCTTAGTCATGTCATGCAAAGGCAGTGGTAGGGACACGCTCCACACTATGTACTCTACCCTCTATGGGACTTGGGAAGGGACACAGGGGAGGCAGTCGGGGGGCTTGGGGCAATGAGAAGACTGAGAGTAGCATGCTCTATGGCTTTATAATCTGGTTTGGTGTCGGTAAGGGGACAGAAACAACAGAGGAACGCAGAAAGGAAGCCAGGCTTCTGTGAGCTAGGCTTAGAGGAAGTGATGGAACTGGCTTGCTAAATGGGGGTCAGAGGTCACAGTGGGGAAGCTGACAGCACAAGCCACAGGGCGTCTTAGTTTCTGTCTTCATCAGAGTCCTGTACAAGCGGTTCTTACATTATTTAAGTGCTGATAAGGCACTGTGGGAAGGTAGACTCAAGTGATCTTTGAATTCTTGAATTCCTGTACTATCATATGAATCATGGACCTTGAGCTGGATTGGGATGAAGGGAAGCACTACCTACAGTTCCTTCAGTCACTGGAATGCATTAGAGCTTTGGAATTTCCTTTACATGGGACCCTGGAGAACTAAGCAGGCAATTATCCACCAGGATGGTAGGGCAGCTCCAGCCCCAAGGCAAAAGGTCACACTGAAGGACTCTGGGTTGACCTGCTGCTTCTGGGCATTCAATCACAGAGATTTTTGACTCTATCACTGAGGTCAAATTAAATGTAGAACCACCAGCAGCCCTCAGGCCCCCTCCAACTC